TTGATATTTCAAACAAAACTTGTTGTTTAAAATACCAAAGGTTTACAATACTCATTTGTAAATATATAGGAGTGAGAATATTTCAGTTTGTTGAAAAAACCTAATTTAAGTTATAAGGTAATGTTTTTTATTCTAGTGATCACAAACACTATAATCAGTAAACAGCCCTCACTTCCTGTGGGCCAAGTGAATTCCCATATTTTTTTTATTTTTTGAAAATCCATAATATTTGAGAATGATTTTTAAGGAAATTTTGTGAATAATTATAAATTTAACTTTTTCCTTGATATAAAAATTAACATTTGGAGAATTATCGGGCATTTTAATTATTTATTTGATTTCATATTTGATTGCATCAATAACGGATTAGATTTGAAATATAATTTATATTAAACAAAATAAAACTTTTAGCAGTTATTATTTGTATTATTGTAAGTTATCCGGTATTCTCAGTATTGACTAAAAGTCAATAAAAGGTTGATACTTTTTTTTAAACTTTTCTCTTAAAAATTATAAATTATCAACAACAACAAAAATTGACACTAAAATTCTGGCTGAAATAAAATAAATATTTTTCTGATCATTCTAGACAAAGATGAAGTAACTATAACTCGCCACAAACTCCAGTTCCTAAATCTTCGCAACCTGATAGTGTGAAACTTCGACTATTTGATCCAGCAAAATTCATAGTTTGAAATATTAACGGTCCACAAAATCAGGTTGCAGAGATATATAGATTGAAAATTAGAGCTGGTGATGAGTAATCAGTTTCTTTTATAATTAATATAATATACAAATATAAAGCAAGATATATAAAGATTAAGTGAATGATAGAGATAATTAATTAGAGTTTTGCCTAGACTAAAAGTGGTTTATTAGAGGATAATGTTTGTTTTATAACTGATTATATACTTTATTTATTTGGGTGGGGGGGGGGGGGGGGGGGGAGGGGTCTTATATTGAGAAAATATTGTAAATGTATTCTCTTAATATGGCTTCTTTTTAATTAAAAGGAAGAGTCATGACCTGGATATAATCCTTATTCTTTAAATCTTCGACATATTTGAGACAAATGGTTGAACCTTGAAAAGATGTCACTAAATTCAAAACTTTAACCCATTCTTTAATAGAAAATTAGCCCGTCCATGTAAAGTTTGACTGTTGAAAAAGTCCAATAAATCTGGGAATAATCCCCCTGTTACAACAAGAAAGACAGGTCCCGCAAAACTTTTAAAATAAATTTCTGTTCTTTAGTCTAAAACACTACAGATGATGGTGGGGGGAGAGGGTTAATAAAGAAAGCAGATATGATGACGAATTATAGAAAAATATACAAAACAGAAAAATTCCTGGTTGTTACTGTTTGTTCCTATCGTTCCTAACTGTTCATCTGTTTGATGATCACCAAACCGTTTCTAATCCTTCCTGACCTTTCCTTTGTTTATAACCATTCCCTCCATTTTTTTTTACCTTTCCTTATTATTACTATATGTTCATAATCGTTTTTGACCGTTTCTTACCATTCCTACTGTCAGAAGTCGCCTCCCTAACTGCCCTCACGGTAGCTGACCGCTTCTTGCTTCTAAATGGTCCTAAAACTAATCCTGAAAATCATCAATATTCAATTAGCATTTCTTCTATAACTGCTGCAGTAGTTATATAAATAGAAAGATAGATAGATAGGGTTTTCTTAGATTCTTAGATTAGATAGATATTTAGATAGATAAATAGTTTGATAGATAGCTAAATACATAGATATGTAGATGTGCAGAGAGATAGATGGATAGATAGATAGACAGATTCTTTCTTAGATTAGATAGATATTTAGGTAGAAGGATAGATGAATAGATAAATAGATGGATAGTTGGATAGAGAGATTTATTCTTTCTTAGATGGTATAGATAGAAAGATTGATATATATTTTATTTTGCCACCTCGTACAAAATCAAAATGTTTTGTAAATCTTTTTTAAACACATTCTATATATTCTTGATATATATTTTCATCTTTTATTTATTTAAAACAGTAAGGAGAGCACAGTAAGAACAAAATGGTTTTAAGATTTCTTCCTAACGCTTGTAAACACAATTTGCAAACTTCTTGCCAAAATTCTGCACAAACACAGGAATCCAGAGTCGATATAGAAGATATTTTTTTCTGGTGAAATAACATGAAAAATTCAAATTTTTAGAAAATTTTCGATATTTTTGAGATCCAAGCTTTGTTACTCTTTGAAACATTATGAGGGGAGAAATTGCCTGTGTAGCAATTTCAGTTGGACTGTTTTTACTTTAGAACTGGGGAGTTAAGCCTGGTTGAGATTTGGACTGAGTGTTCTTTAGAACTGGGGAGTTAAGCCTGGTTGAGTTTTGGACTGTGTGTCCATTAGAACTGGGGAGTTTAGCCTGGTTGATATTTGGACTGTGTGTTCTTTAGAACTGGGGAGTTAAGCCTGGTTGAGATTTGGACTGGAGAGTTAGTACTGGTTGATCTTGAAAAGTAATATTTCAAAGATGGCAATGCGGTCTAAAATTGTGCACAAATACTAATAAATTGGCAGAATTCAATATAAATTCTTGTTTTTATTACAAATATATTTTTTTTGGTCATTGCTACATTTCGTAGAAAAAATAACATTTATTATTTTTAGATTTTCTGCAGTTTAAGAATTTTTCATTTTTAAGAGCAACAGATTCATGTCAAATGGTAATGTTAAAAAAGGAAGAAAAATAAATGTATTATTAGTAGAAAAAAAAAACAATAAAGGTAGAGGATACCTGCAGGAGGAAGTATTAAAGGAACTAAGAATGTATTATTAGTAGAATAAGAAACAAAACAATAAAAGTTGAGGATACCTGGAGACGGAAGTATTAAAAGGACGTAATTCCAAGAAACAATCCTCTTTAAGAATTACATGTCAAATTCAAAACGGCTTCCTTTAAAACCTGTAGCTAAATAATGAGAGGAAATATAATTTTTTTATATTATAAAAAAATATGAACACCACTGATGTTTTATTATGAAGTAAGTTGATTTCTAATAATCTGCAGCCGATTAATATTCTGAATGGGTAATCCTTCTGTCTTCAAAACAATCAAAGAATTTTCATCAATCTATCGAGAAGCTCCTGATTTCATCAATTTATCAAGAAGCTCCTTATTTCATCAATCTATGCAGAAGCTCCATGATTTTATCAATCTACCGAGAAGCTCCATGATTTCATCAATCTATCGAGAAGCTCCGGATTTCATCAATCTATCGAGAAGCTCCGGACTTCATCAATCTATCAAGAAGCTCCTGATTTTATCAATCTACCGAGAAGCTCCATGATTTCATCAATCTGTCGAGAAGCTCCCAATGTTGGAACAAGGTTAAGATTGTGGTTCATGATAAATCTCTAGATATATAGAATAGAATAGAAATAAGAATGAGAAATTGGAAAATATGGGAGGTAAAGAAACATGAGTCTGAGCAAAGTTTTTTTAACGAAAAACACTTATTAAAAATTAACGGAACATTTCGTTAAGGTACTTAAAGAACCGTTCAGTGTTAACTGAATATATAAACCGTCATTTAAAAAGCCTAATGGAAAATAAATAGACTTTTCCGTTTAATTTATGCCTATGCCAAATCAACTAAACTGAAAAAATCTAATGTGCCTCACAGCTAAGCCCGGATGGTGTTTATTATTTAAACTATCCTCACCACACGATAAGGGATAAATTTGGTAAAAAAATTAAGGAAAGTTACTTTTAAATTATATGTTTTTAGTTTTATCTACTTCTTAGACAAAAATAAACAAAAACAATTTTTTTGAATTTAACCCTATTCCCGCTGGGGGGGGGTCAATTTGACCCCCCCCTGTAGTTTTTTTTACATAACTCAAAAAGTATTGGTCTGAGGCTGATGAAATTTTCTGACTTTTCTTACATACCCAAAGCCCTCCCTTTAGGCCTAAAACCGGGCTTTAATACTAACCCCATTAAGACATATGCTACTGTATTTAAATTTGTTAATATCATTATCTTAATTAGCTTGAAGCTAATTATTTAATTGCACTATAATCATTTATTCAAGATTTTGCTTTGATGTATTTGCACGTATATATATATATTCCTATAAACTTAATAAAGAAATCCATGAATCATGAAGTTTAAACCTGACCCCAGGGAAGTAAACCACCGCAACCTTATTACACCACCAAGGAATGCATCAGATAAGCATAATTTGAATTTTGAATTTTTCGAACGCCTAAAATTAACGCAATTTCTAATTCAAAACTATGGATAAAATTGAAGGATGTAAAATGATATACACCGATCTATGATTCCAGGCGCCCGGCCACAACAGCGGGATGTTAAATTACTTAACTGTCCTTTGGAAAATTTTGACAATGAGAAAACATCACGCTCTGCAAAGTGGTGGGCAATAATTTGTGCATTTTATCTAAACCGACGCGACGATGAAGTTGTGAGCAGCTACTTTACTTAAACACGGGTCCCTCGACCAATTTGCCTATAAAACATGCAGAGCGTGAAGTAAAATTCCCCGTTATAAATAATTTTTATTTGGATGTTGGACAT